CGTGAAGCTGCTGCCACGTTCTAAAGATTCTCTTGCACGGCTCACACCAGAATCTGTTGCTGGAGAGGGTGCCAGACCCCGTTTTATATTCGGAGACCACGACGGCTGACGCGCCATTAGATTTGTGTTTGACGGTTGCCATCTTCCGTTTGGTGAAGAGACGACGGAAAAGATTGGTGTTTGTCTGCGTTAATGCGGATGGATGCAGATGTGGAAACGGAGAGATGCAGGAAGGAGGGTGAAAACGAAATTTATATGCAGGTGAGAACGCAGGCAACAGGTGAATTAGAGCACTGTGACTCACTGTCACTGCGAAGCGCTCCAAACTTACAGAATAAGAAAGTTAATGTGCTCGCAAAAACTTGCGAGGGTACAATAAGTTTGAGGGGATAATAGGAGGTTGAGATAAGAATGGATCAAACCAACGAAAAGCCACGGCAGGCACAATAACCTCAGCGTAAAATGGCAGAGAATGGCTATAGAAATATCCTGATTGCTGGCAATTTACTTCACCTTGAGCATGGTTTTGATACTGGCTCTACTTCTATAATAGGACAGTCGAAATCTACCAACAAAAGGTTAGATTTCACCTCGTTTTCTCGCAAAGAGTTTGAAAGCCAAGCACAGCTCAAACATAGAGTTTAGTGGCAACATTTGCCCAGGGGAGCGGGGCAGAAGACAATATATTCGGAATGGTGCCATAGGGGCACAATGCGAGAGTTCGAGCAACAAACTGTAATGAAGGTTTGGAAACGTGCCCAATGCACAATCACGGCAGGGAATTGTTTGATGACTGCGTTTCCCCTCTGCTTCCTTACAGTTAACTGCATACTGCCGTGTGCTCTGCTTCTTGGTACTGTGATCTGGTTCTCGTATGGTCCCTCATCCATACATCATCTCTCTGTCTATATCCTCGTCCCTCACAGCTGTGATGTCGCCATCCTCATCATCCCCTGAATCATCATCATCCGAATCCTCATTCCCGGATCCCATCTCTTCCAATATCCTAGCCTCTTCTTCTCCCCGCTCAGCCGCGCGGGTTTCCTCAGCTGGCGCACGCTTCGGTCCTGCATTGGGGTCTCTAACACGCACGCTGTAGCCTTTATGCTTGTTCTTCTTTGTTGGCTGCCGCCCGCGAAGTTGCGTAAGCTCCTCGTCTGTGAGACGTAGATTAGGCAGAGGGAGATGGAATGTTGCTTGATTGGATCGCATAGGAGTCTCGTCTCCTGCTTGTAGCGTCATTGCGAAATCTTCTCGCGTAAGGTGTCGATCGAATTGAATGGCAACCAGTTTTGTCTTCATGATGGCTTTGACCTTTGCCCACAGGCCTCCGTGATACCACCCGCTGCTTGGGTCCCATTCGGGACGGATAGCAGCATTCTCAAGAAGATCTTTGAGCAGTGGGTCGGTAATATCGCATACTTGCCACACTTTACCGTCAGTATGAAAGGTGTCGCCGTCAAAAACGTGGCTTTCCGAGAGCTCCTCTAGAAATTCTTTCAACGGGCCCATCTGGACCTTGCGTAGCGATTTCCACGTTTGACCGCGTTGGGCACGCTTCTGCTTAGGAAGCTTAAACATGAGAGTTTGATAAGTTCGATACTTGGGATCTGTTCGTGGATCGATACCATAAGGAACCACACCATCTCTCCATGGCCCTCCTTTGAACTGATAAGCTGCGTAGTTGAGATACTTTTTGAGTTCGTTCCAGTTCTTGAGCTTGCCTCCAAGGTGATTGAGTAGAGACCGTCGTGTCCACACTGGCCGCTCATCGAAGGCCGCTTCGAGTTCAGCCATAATTTCCACCATTCTGGGATCGGTCATATCGGGTTCAAGCTGAGGTCCAGCTGGTGCAGGGTCTTCTGCGCCAATGAAGTAGCCGACTTGCTTCACCGCTGTAGTGTTGACAGTCCCGCCATCTTCAGTGGCACGTACGTAAGGGTTCTGCGAGTATTGGTAGTTGAAAGGGAGGCTCATGTGCGTAAACATTGGCGGTGGTAGAACATCAACATTTGGCCCTTTGTCAGTTCCAGGCTGGAACTTGAACTCCTTTATCTTGTCGACTACAAGCTGTTAGTATCCTTAACAGATTTTGGGCTACAAAACATACCGTCTCCAGGGAGCACTTTGTCCATGTATTGTTGCGCAAATGACGATTTGGACATATCCCAGTAAAAATCTGCCAGTCCACGAAATCGATGTGTGTTCCGAATTACACCAACTGCTTCGACCTGATAATTGTCGACATTGTCTGCCATTGTTCGACGCAATACTTTGGGGTCGTCTAATCTGGCATAAGATGAGACTCTGCTATTTTCTTGTGGTTGATCTTCAGCGTCGTTGATTTCAACATCTCCTTCCCATGGTCCATCAGTACCACGCTTGCGTTTACGCCCCGTTCGTTTTGGAACAGTGATTTTCAGCACCACATTATGACTGCGGGCATTATGTGACATTATAGGCTTGCAGAACGGTATCTCTGGTGTTAAATAGAGGGGAATCGAGTTTCTCCCTGCATCCATGACCTAAATTCCTATTAGCGGAAGTAGATGGTTGAACTGTTATGAGTTCTTACATGTTGGAGATTTGGTACTCGGCCGAATGCCTTGACAGTACGGTCGATGTTTTCAACCACAGCAGGTATCTCGACCGCTCCTAGGGCGCGAGAAGGAACTGTATATCTGGGAGCTGAATCTGGATGAACCGAATCATTGGCTCTTCCACCATTATCATTCTCTAGTTGAGTATCATCCAGGCTTTCATAGCCGTTCTCATCAGACGAAATCTCCATTTTCGCTTGCCGACTGTTATTGTAGTCGCAACATCAAAAGAAAAGGCCCGATTTCTGATGAAAGGAATATCGTTTGTATCTTCATGTAAGTTCTGTTGTCGTCGCCCTATAAACTCTAGGTTGAAAAAACAACACTGACAAGCTCCAGATCCACACCGGAGCTAACGTTTATAGGAGGAAGACGGTGACACAACAGACCCAAGAATAGTGACCAATTGGAACTCGCTGATGAGCCGGACTCTGTGCTGATGCTTCCCAAATTAACGGAGGGGAAGAGTCGATGCCGCTGTTGCATTGGATACGCGATGATGATGACTTGACGTGATTCTCACCAGGTGCCCTTGACGTTGTTTTCGTCGTGGCTGGGGGGGTTATTTCACGCACTGTCTTTCTGAGCTGGAAACACTGGTAGAGGACAGTGCGATTTCGATAAACTTCTGTGGCTGTTTCTGGTCTGTGCTTACGACCTGGCTATCAAACTCCAACGAATACTGGGTTTGAAAGGGTATTGGTATCACGAGGAGAAACAACGAGACGAGAAAAGACTCAAGGTTGAAACATCTGCTTAACTCAAAGCTGATATGATCTGGAGACACACTTTGGAATTCCCATCCTAGCTATGGAATGTTCTAAGCTGTATCCTTCTCTCACCAGAATCTGCACCTGCATGCCTAACAGGACAACTAATAAGCTTACAATCAGTCAATTACTAGAGATAGAGTATCACTGATATGCTCGAGTCCAAAGCACATGCTAACGTTCGTCTGATATCCTTTTTTCTAGAATGGACTTTTGAGATTCTGTTTATCTGCGGCTGAACATTCCCATGTTAAATGCCCGGCCTCTTACACAGCCTACCTGTAATTTCGGCCGCGTGACTGGTTCAACTCACACCTAGTGGCACTCCAACTGACTCCCTTGACGCCCACTTCTTGGCAGATCGGTATTTGATGTCCTTTCAATTGAACTCAGGTAGAACTAACTATAAACAACATCAAGTGATACAAGTAATAGCTAAAAGATAGCTAATATCGAACGCATTAAAGTCTATGTACCTTAAAATTATAGCAAGCATTGATCCAAGACTCTCCCTACTTGCCAGCTCCTACCAAGCATCGGGGTCCATTCAGGAGGGGCACATCCCCCTAATGTGCCTCTGCAGCGCCTCTAGTGGTTTCACCGCCCGTTCCTAGCCATCCCAACCAGGGTCAATCCAATTGAGCTCACCAGTGCATGCCTAGGGGATCTGTTAGCGATACCACAGCATCTGCACACTGTCACTAACAGCTGGTGATATACTCGAACACCATGACCCGAACCTGACCTCCCTCTCCAATAATCGAAGCGCGTTCCCTTCAACTGGAGCTTCCACCCCCCCGCAAAGCACAATACCTACCTACTCTTCGCCGGCGCCCAACGATAATCACGTCCCGTCCGCTACCTACGACAAAGTTTCCGATTTCCTCATCGACGACAACGAGGCTCGAGTCTGAAGCCGCCGTGAGCATCTCGACCACGCCGCGTCCTTGACATTTCTTCTTCTTCGTTCCACTTCCAGTTCTACCTTGCTCCTCTCTACCTTTTGATCTTACTACGTTTCTCCTCCCTAAGACTAGACAGCAGCAGCACCAGGAAGCATCAGCAGAGACCATCCCGGCCGAGCCCCCGTTCCAGTTTCCCACCCTCCTGCGCAAGTACCAGCCAGCGCCTCAGTCAGTACCAGCGCCCAGCACACGCACTGCACCGCACCGCACTTGATTGCACCTCATCTCGACGCACTGTCGCCCAACACCTACCTACCAAAGATCTTCAGCTCTGGCTGGTTCAGTGCTTCATCGTTCTTCTCCTGCATGGGATCAATCGTCGCTTTTCGCTTCCCAAGTAGTCTTTCTACATCAGCTTCCCCAGCCTCATCAGCTTAGAAGCTCTCGCTCTCGCGGTCTTTCGTCCGGCTCTCGACAGCACCACAACGCTCTCGCCAGGCTGGCACCTCTCCTCTTACCTTGAAATCGACCCCTAACAACGATTATCGACATCGCTCATCGCTACGACGCCTCGAATCATCGATATTGTTGCTTGCGCAGCTGTTATCACACCCTCGACGTCCCTTTGCCCCTGACGTCGTTGCCCCGGTGCCCCACTGCCTCATACAGTTGAGCAGCGGGCGTCTTAAACCGCCCCTCCACACGACACGCTGTTGTCCGACAAGATGAAGCGCTTCAGTCAGAGAGTTGTATGTCACTGTTACTTTGTTCTCTACTAGTTCTACTCGTGCTAATGCCATTCAGCTCTCGCGTGGGAAAGATCCAAATAAGTCTTCTAAGAAGAACAAGGATTCCAAGGATGGTACCGCGTCTCCCTCATCACGGGATTCCAATCAGTCACCCGTACTTACGCCGTCATCCTCCACGTCGACCTTGAACGATCCTAGAAACAAACCACTGCCACAGAACAATGCTGGACACGGAGGCGAACACGGTAGTGGCTCGCAGCCCTCCAATCTGTCCAATGTAACTCAGGCCGGTAGCACCCCTGATCGCTTTGCAACTGGAGGTGCTTCGAGCCCCAACGGCGGGAGTGCCAGCTCGAGACTTCCGCCAACTGTTGTCATCAGCCCGACACCAGGTGTAAGTTATAAATCTCACCACTATTCAGTCTCGAGGCTTCGACTAATCACAATTATCACAGCATGTCCCTCCCCCCGGAGCCGCCGAGACGATGCCACACGATTTGGCCCCTCCTAAGGCGGGACAAAAGTCGCTCTTGATCCATCGAGGAATAGATAACCGCGATGCGATTCCCGAGGGACTCAGAACTCCAAAGAGACAGCATTCTTCACGATTCGATATCTCCGCCCATCGCGAGCTCGAGAAGTTGCCTGGATTCCACGAGGTCCCCCCTAACCGACGACAAGAACTCTTCATGCAAAAGATTGATCAGTGCAACGTCATTTTCGACTTTAACGATGCGAGTGGTGACATGAAGTCAAAGGAGATCAAGAGGCTAGCTTTGCACGAGCTACTGGATTATGTCGCCAACAACCGACAAGTTATCACAGAACCCATGTACCCCAAGGTTGTCGACATGTTTGCCAAAAACTTGTTCCGTCCGATCCCTCCTCCAATGAACCCTCAAGGCGAGGCTTTCGATCCCGAAGAGGATGAGCCCGTTCTCGAGGTTGCTTGGCCGCATATCCAGGTCGTTTATGAGTTCTTCCTGCGCTTCATTGAGAGTCAGGATTTCAACACCAACATCGCCAAGGCCTACATTGACCATAGCTTTGTCCTTCAGCTTCTTGAGCTTTTTGACTCAGAGGACCCCCGTGAGCGAGACTTCTTGAAGACCACCCTCCATCGCATTTACGGAAAATTCCTTAACCTACGATCCTTTATTCGACGATCCATCAATAACGTCTTCTTCCAATTCACCTACGAAACCGAGCGATTCAACGGTATTGCTGAGTTACTCGAGATTCTTGGCTCTATTATCAACGGATTTGCTCTCCCTCTGAAGGAGGAGCACAAGATCTTCTTGACCCGAGTGCTATTGCCGCTGCACAAGCCCAAGAGTCTGAGCATGTACCACCCTCAGCTTGCCTACTGTATTGTGCAATTCCTGGAGAAGGATGCTTCTCTTACAGAAGATGTGGGTTAAACTTGTATTTTTCTTTTCTTCTGACGTCATGCTAATCATCGCAGGTGGTCCTGGGACTCCTACGATACTGGCCCAAGGTCAACAGCACAAAGGAGGTCATGTTCCTCAACGAAGTCGAAGACATCTTTGAGGTCATGGACCCTGCAGAGTTTGCAAAGGTTCAAGAACCCCTGTTCCACCAGCTTGCCAAGTCTGTCGCCAGCCCTCACTTCCAGGTTGCCGAGCGAGCGTTGTACTTCTGGAACAACGAGTACTTCTGTAATCTTGTCAGCGACAATGTTGAGATCATTCTGCCCATTATGTTCGCTCCTCTCTACGAGAACTCAAAGGGCCACTGGAACAGGTATGTTACGTTGAATACTCTAAGTAAAGACCATGTCTAACTGTTACAGAACGATCCACGGCATGGTTTACAATGCTATGAAGCTATTCATGGAGATTAACCCACAGTTATTTGATGACTGCTCGCACGACTACACAGAACAGCAGAACAGCGCAGCAGCACGTGAAGCTCTTCGAGAGCGTAAATGGGCTGCTCTGAGCGAGAAGGCCAACCAACAGAGGGAAAGCAATGGCAATGGAACCGCCGAAGCGCCATCAGCACAAAACCATGTCAACCCCATGCCCCGTGTAGACGAAGTCGACCCACAAACCGAGGATAATTCGAAGCGCCTCGACTCGCTTAAGCTGCAAGACGGCCGACCCAATCTCCATGAGCGACAGGAATCTGTAGGATCAACTCGAAGTCGGTAATCCAAGTTAGCAGCTATCCAACATTCGTCAACACATCGAACTTGGATAAGAAAGGGACGAATACCCTTTCCAAAGTCGAATACAGAGGGACGCTGGTGGGTTCGGATAACAATCATTGCTGCATAGTCGTTTGGCAGTGGTATTATGATTATGAGAAGGGATTGGTTTTTCGCGGTTCAATAATGGACTGAAGAACACGCGTACTCGACATACAGTTGCTTTTACTGGGATTGGGACTGGCCAGTGTGAGCACCGTCGCTATATTTCGCCTTTTGACCCCTCAACCTTCTTTCTTGGGTTGCCCCTCAGCTAGACCACATTCAGGGGGGATTGTTCCGGGGGGGACAAAAGCGTGCAGATATTACAATGCTACTGAGTTCCGCTCTGGCTCTCAAGATGACAAGAAAAGAACGCGTGTTTTTATACTATACTGCCTGTCGTGGCATGATGGGAGCCGGGCATTAAAAAAACATGGATTTCTACGCTTCTCGTGTAACTCTTTGGGGCGAATACTTAACTTTGTTCTTTTTCTTCTTCATTTTTTCTTCTTCTGGCTGTCTCACTTTTTCCACCCTTTCGCGACATGGAACCGGGCGCATGGAGGAGCTGTAGGTTCTTCGTTGATCCCGGGTTTGAGTTGTGTTTTTGTGCTTTGCTGTGTGTAAAGACGGAAGAGGAATTGAGGGTCTGCTTGGCTTTACGTAGACGATGAATGAGCAAGACTAAAATAAAAGTCATTACTATTACGACGTTGGTAAATCATGGATCAGATTATGTGTGCAAGATGTGAATCAAATTCAAAGATCTATTATTGGCATGTTGTTGTACATAGTGTATCTTGTTACAAACGTCTCATTGGACACCTTACCATCCTCGACCTCGATCATATCCACCCCTACCTCTACCACGATATCCGTTTCCTCGCCCCCTTCCTTGGTATCCGTTGTGCGGCGGAGGTGGAGGCGGCGGAACATTCCAGCCACCCATCATCTGGCCCATCATGGCTGGGTTAGGGGGGAACCAGCCTGGTGCCATATGAGGAGGAGGCGGCGGTGGTGGCCAAGGACCTTGGTAGCCAGTTGGGGGAGGTGGTGGGACAGGGATGTCTCCTGGTGGCGGGATAGGAAGAAAGGGTGCTGGAGGCGCTTGCTGAGGAAAGGGAGGCGGGCGATGTGGACGGTCTTGGGCGTCTTTGTCCTGAAAGCGTGGAGGTGAACGCGACGGTGATCTGCTGTACCCTGGGCGCTCAAATCGTGCTTTGCGGCTTCGACTTCGACTTCGACTCCGACTGTAGCTGGGACTGCGTGGTCGTTTTGCAATGCGATCGTTATCGGGACTATATGACCGGCTTCGGCTGCGGGATAGACTTCGACCCCTAGAGTCTTGAGAAGCTCTTCGGCGCTTATGCGTAGGCCGTGAAGAACTTCGTGACCGACTACGAGAATAGCTGCGAGATCTCGAGCGCGAACGACCCCTGTCTGTCCCCTTTCTGTCCTTCTTCTTTCTCTCCTTCATTTTCTCGCAAAACTGACGGGACCAACCGTAGTATGTGTCTCCTCCGATAACCTCGCCCGTGATTTCATCCAGAACGACTCGTTCTCCTAACTCATTTAGGTCGTTACCAGGTTCGTCGTTCCACTTTTGCTCCTTCGAGAACATGCGTTCAACCTCTCCCAGGAGGTCTTGTACGGCGTTGACGAGAACTTTGTCTGCAGGACCAGCAGCGAGTTGAATAGGCCGAATCCGGTCGGGAAACATTGGTTTTGTTGAGTTCGGAGTCAGGTGAGGTAGCCACGTTGTTGCGGGTAAATCGTACCACGGTACTGTGCTGTCACCATGGAAGGATGGAAGCGTAAAGGGCGCCTCCTTTGCAAGCTTGAGGCTAACATTGGGTGCGTGCGCTTCTTGGGCAGCCTGAGGAGCGACACCACTTGCGAGAGCATCTTCGAGCTTTTTCGCGAAACTTGACTTGACGTATTGCTGGTTCTCCCACAGGCGAACAAGATCCGCGATCTTTTGCTTATGTTTCGGGCAGTTGTCGAATGCGGCGGCGCTTGCGACCATCCCAGGCAAAACGGGTTCCCAAGCTGTCGCAAATTTGAAGTCGTCATTTCTCGTGACGGCGTGATACAGCACGTCATTTAGGACATACAGGAGATGCAGTCTCCGTCGCTTAAGGCTCGGCCGTGAGCCATCGTCCTGTAGGCTCTTGGATAGGGCGTTGAAGTATTTTGCCAGGGCAGTCGTGCGCGCGGCTGAGGGCGCAATTTTATCGATGATCCAAACCTTGCATTTCTGTTTGACCAAAAAAAGCACGAAAAATTTAGTGACTTCTGCTTGGGTACAGAGGGAAGAGCTTTTCAAGCGATGGAGCAGACCTGGACGTTGGGGCGCGAGCACTTGGCGAGGGCATCTGTAAGGATCGGGAAGAAGGCATCGACTTCTGGACGGCTAAGAGATGTTGGATCGGCGCGGAAGAGAGTGGCAGAGAGAGTGGCCTTTGCGATGGCCAGCTCTGGCGAAGCCATTGTTATGGGTAATCGCTGGAGACTCTAATACGAAGACAATAAAATGTTAAATGAACGAAGTTGATTATTGAAGCAATGGTGGAGCTGAGGCTAAGAAGGCCTCCTTCAACGAATGCGGCTAATTACCGGGTCTCTCGGCACGTGGCTTGGCTGCACAAGCGGTAATTCGAGTATGACGCTCATGACGAGCCGCGAATAACGTCACTTTACCTGTACCATCTCAGAAACATCCCTTACTCAATTTCTCGTAATACTGATTTAGTGACAGTGTGCTAACGTTGCAGTAACACAGAAAAGCGCGATTCTTTCCGTAGAAGCTCCAAGCGAGGTCGGAACCAGGTTCAAGGCTCCACTCCAACCGGTCTTGTCCGTAAAGATGTGTTGCATCTAGCTTATCACCGAATATGACAGCGTTGGTGAGCAAATTTGTGTACAATTGCAGATGAAATAAATTCAGTGTAATAGTTTTCTCAGTTCGAAATATCCAAGCAATCTGAAATCCTTTGCCTTTTCTAGTAATTCATAATGACGATGCGTTAAGGTAGTTGTTATACACAGCTCCAATTCCGAGCCTTCTCCTCATATACACTTTTCCGGATTGTGAGCTTAAGAGAATCGATCTCCCTTTGGACTTCTGTATACACTCGCACTTTCGTATTTGCTCTTCTCTCCAACTCGCTGGCTCTCGGTCTCAGGCGCATGTCTCGTAGGGGCAGGGTCACTGCTTGCTTCTTGGCTTGGGGAGCCGGTGCTATCGGTGCGGGCAGGGCTTCCGTTGCCCTCTGTGGTTTCCAAGTTCTCAATCATCTGTCTCTTCTTGCGGTGGGCTTCCATCTTGGCCTGTCGGTCGGCGTTGATCTGCTGCTTAGCGAAGTAGTAGGCACCGCCACCAGCTGTGATATGGTCAATTGATTGTGCTAGGGAAGAAGGGATTGTGAGGTTATTTACCGACGCAAAGAGAGCCCCAGCCCAGCCTAAAGTTAACATTGTCAGCTTGGAACTGCTAGAGATCGGGGGAGCGGAAATCGGAGACGCAAAAGTACGAACCAGAAAGATTTAACCTAGAGCAGTCAGTATCAACGGCGCAATAATCAAATTTGTCTCGTTCTAAACTTACAGTGTTCATTTTGGCGATAATCAGCACTTCAGATTGATGTTGAAATTTTTGAAAGCGAAAACCGGGACGCAGGATTGAAAGATTGTTAGAGGCAGGGTTTTGTTAAGGTGTAAGTGGAATGGCCTGACATGATGAACCGAGAGGTTCCTTTCGAGGTCCAGACCTTGCCGCTTGGCGCCGGATTTGGTACGTACCGTTGAAGAGGTCCGGTGGTTTTCAGTGCTTGACTTGACCATCTCCCGCCGCTAGAACAGTTTCACCTTGGGGCGTTGCGGCAACCACAAACTGCCGTTAGAAAGGTCATAGGCATCGCTTTTACAGGGATCAATTCATTTGTGCTTTGATGGCACGCGGCGAGTTGAATCTGAACTTTATGATACGTGAACTCTCTCTTGGCTCGATCGGCACTTGATTCCTTGGGGCCAGTCGACAATCTGGAGTTAAGTCTTATGATGAGTTTTGAGTACCTATCTTGAGGCCATCTCTAACAAATATCTGTAGAGCTTTCTCCGAGTTGCAGGTAAATATGTGCAACTGTTTCATGACAGTCGATCAACAGGTACAACGACTAAATCGGACAATTTTCAGTATCCTTTAGCATGATATAGGTTTCAGCGTAAGTGAGGGCAACATAACTTACCACAGGCCTCGGAATAACCTTAAACTATTTACAACAATGTTTTTCTTAGCGATTATCCTTATATCATGACGTCCCTTGTTTTTTACTGACCGCGTGGACATCTTGAACTTTGATGGTTTCCCCGCTGATACACCCCTGAAGCCTTAGCGGAAATCACTGACCCTGGTAGCTCTACAGTGCATCATTCATGAAACGAACATATATGCACAGTACTGACCTCTTGCAAAATACATGTCTCTACAGTGCCAAGAACTACGCTAGACGCACCCACTTATGACATAAGGGTGGCTCAGCCAGCTCGAAATTGTGAGAGACCACGCAAGACAACTCGCAGCAAGATCGACATTGAAGCCACGAGGAGAATAGGGGACTTTGAATGAGAAAAAAACAAGACACTTCTCCAAAACATCCCTCGCTAGTTTTCCACGCACTTCCACCACGATATCGACGATACGAGACTCTTTGGGTTCTCGCCAAAGGCCCCTGTCATTAACATTAACATCACCCACCCGCTCTTTCGTCGACCCCCAACGTTCCTTGTCACTGCCCAGTGCCGACTTTTGGAGCTTTAACTTACCGTCCCGAATTCTGGCTCTTCATTACACTCCCTTTGCTTGACTCTGGCTTACTACGACCTGTCGCGCCGGATTCAGCTTCAACTTTCGACTGTTGATGCCTTCATGAGTGAGACGACTGGGCGTGGGTGTAGCGGGTA